GACGGTGCTTGTGGCTTGCAGGGGCCTCGGAGCTCTGCGGGTTCCTCGACGCGAGGCAGATCAGGTGGGATAAGTTTGTTCTGAAATGTATCTCAATTTGCATACGGGGATGCTCAGTTCAGTTCAGTTAGTTGTACAGTTCACTGTGTGCTCAATTGCACTTTGTTTTCAGAATTGATTTGGTGCAGGTGTACACCTGGTAGTACCACTACCACGCAGTTGATTAAACGTTGATTCATGCCATGATTTGGGGCTTTGCTGTATGAATAGTGAAATGTCTGTCGATTGATGCACGGACTAACATTTCAGGAAGTTAGAGAGGTTGTTTTTCAGATGATAGGAAGAGTGCGTTGTAGGCTATATAGATTGGATGGCTCGAAATTTGATACGCAAACTCATGCTGTTGCAAATCCGCGATTACAATATGCAGTTATCTGTTCGCACAACACTATACCTCACTTAGAAACCTCACTTCCTAATGATCAGTACGTCTTGCTCTGTCAACTTTTTGATGACATCGTGTTATTCCAAGGAATTCCCATACATCTTGGAGTGGAAACTTCCACTCTCTGGAGCCATAAATATCGTGTCACAAAATCATGCATTTTTATTCTTAATTGGGTTGTGAATTACTAGATCACTAATTATGAATCTTCAACTGACTTCTTAATACCATCAGTCCTCGTGATCAGTAAGAAGCACTCTAGCAGCAGGTGCCTTACTAGTTTATTGTTTAATTGTATATAACAGACACGGTTGCTTTCGTTCATATATTTTTTTTGAGCTACGCATCAGATTTGGATGTTGCTTACTAGTTTGTTGTTTACTTGTATAGAAGTATATAACAGGCACTGTTACTTTTTTTGACATGTGCCATTGAGTTCATGTGTAGCATCTGTTTTGTTATTGTAAAAATCTGCCAGACTAATGGTACCGAAATAACTGCAATTATTAGTGGCATCTGTATGTAGTTAATTTATTAGATTAGAGATATTTATGTTTTTTGTTACTGATTCCTACCATTGCTATTACACAGGAGGGGTCTAATCACCCGCAATGTGAAGGACGCAGTTGATTTGTTTCACCAAAGGTTTGGTGTAAGTTGTTGCACTAAACTCATTCTGTTCATCTCGTGGTTATACTTTTAGTATGATATCCATTTTTCTTGCCCATGTATATTACTGTGATATACGCACATTCAACCCAATCTGTGTTTATTTTGGTAATGTTCTGCAACTAGTTTCTTCTTTCTTGCGCCTTTCTGAACATACCTTCATGTTGATCTCCCCAATCCTTATGTCATGTGGAAAGGCTGAATGTTGATATTTAGCCAAATTATGAGGTTATGTTGTAACTCTGCATAATATATGTCTTTTAATATTAATGTGTTACTGCTCAACCAACTTGATTTTTTGCTAGTCATATATTGGTATGGTGAAGTGAAATAACTTTCCAGGATCTGTAATATTGCAATCATCTTCAATATGCTACTCTCGCACTATTAAACTTATGCAGATGACATTTGTGCCTGCATTAAGCAGAGAATTCCGCCCATATAAGCCAGATCCAGCTCCATTGCTTCATATTTGCTCCACTTGGGACATTCCACCAACCGAGGTGATCATGGTTGGTGACAGCCTCAAGGATGACGTGAGCATTTTTCATCCCATTATGTAGCTTAGCATATGAAGGATTCCTTTACAGTTGACTTTGTGCCATGGTTTGAGTTATCAAGGCATACTATCAGGATTCCTAAATTACTGTAGATATTATGAGTTCAAAATTTGAAAGCTCCACAGTAAGTTATAGTTTCATACTTCCATCATACCCATGAATCAAAAGGAATTGTGCTTGTGCTGCTTTCGCTAAATGCTCCTTGATTCTACTACTTACATAAGCCGGAGTTCAGGACAGTTTTTGTGAATCTTGAACTTTTCCGATAACTTGTGCGTGTGTACTGATTCATCTGCCTTGCCTTTGAAAACCTTGCGCAGATCGTTTGTGGAAAGAGAGCAGGAGCATTCACTTGCCTACTTGACGAAACAGGGCGATACGGCCCCCACGATTCTTTGGCTGAAGATGTTAAGCCTGACTTCATGGTGTCTTCACTCCCCGAAGTACTGTCGGTGCTGGAGGAGCATTTCGATCTGGCTCCAGTGTCTGTCGCCGAGAGTAGAATATGACAGGAAACGTCTTACACCTTGAATGTAATTTGGTATATGCCAAGCTGTATCGATCAGTTTATCCATACCCTCCAAAAATATGACTGCTAGAAAGGAATTTACCGTATATGCAGCTTCAAGCATGGCGTCGATTACGGATGCATCAGGCATTCAGGCACCAAGGAATTATGACCGTGAAATTCGCCCCTCATGAATACCTAATGACCATAGTTGTGACTGGAATTTAGTAGTCCTAGACTCCTAGTATAGTTTCTGTCGAAAATAAATAAATCATAGATGGTCGTGATTGTGTAGATTTCTAAGGCATCACAGCTACGCCTTTAAACCTTGTCGCCCACTCATAAGCATTTTTCCATCCACCCTTGCACGTGTTTCCACATTTTGTCCTTATTTAGACGTGCATTCCTCGGCCCGTCCACTCTCGAAGGTACTCCCTCCGTCCGAAAATACTTGTCATCAAAATGGAGAAAAAGGGATGTATCCAGAACTAAAATACATCTAGATACATCCCCTTTTATTCATTTTGCTGACAAGTATTTCCGGACCGAGGGAGTATGTGGGATACCTCCATCCCTATAGTTCCTTCTGAAGTGTACAAGTTTGAATAAAACTCATTAGTCATCTGCACCATCTCTGCTTTGATCAGTAACAGAAGTACCATCAGTTTTCTCTAGCTGCTTGATCTTGTTCTTTGCACGCCAAGCACTTGTTGTTTTCTTTTTCTGAAAAAAAAAACAGTGTTACAAGCCCCCTCGGTCAGCCATTGGATGCAGGACCTCTACCTCATGATGATCTCCTCTGTGTACAGCAGTTCTATCATGTGACGTAGGGTCCTTAGCTCCTGCCGTATAGAACCAAACGTGACCTGACCCCAGCGGGATAAGGACCTTGCCACGACTTCCAGCTCCCTTGCTAAGCCGCCCACCGACGCCACAGGTGCATCGGCTTGCCATGGCTCCTCCACGACACCGGCTGAAATTTCTGTTGGTCTCCCGCATGCATTCATACCTAAAAGGTTTCTTTAGTCGGTGCCGAGCACTGTTTTAACTCCAACTCATCTGATTTTGCGGCCATCAGCTCTATGGAGCATTGTTTCTTTAGTTCATTGATTTTCAAAAAAGTTCATAACATTTTAAAAAATCATCGATTTTGAAAAAAGTTCATTGAATTTTTTTAAAAAGTTTATTGATTTTGAGAAAAACTTCATCGCGTTTGAATAAAGTTCATGAATTTTTTAAAAGTGCAAAATTTGAAAAAAAAAGATTCATCAATTTTAAAAAGTTCACCGCTACAGTGACCTTTTTAGTGGACACATCAATTATCTCTCTTGCTGCTTCTCGCAAAACAAATTCTTTGGCGTTGCAACACACGAGTATATGTGCTAGTGAAAAGAAAAATGGAGAGCAAATGGCACAAGAAGGGTTCGTCTCTCCACATAAAGTACTCTGTTCGCCTAAGAACCCGAGAGATTAACACGAGGGACGTGCTCCGCTCTTGTAAGGCGCGGCGCGTACCCTGCCCGTGTTGAGTAACGACCCGGCCGGCGCCGGCGAGCACCACCAGGATGTGTTCTTCGTGTGTGTGTGTGTGTGTACACGACGCACACATACATGTGTCCCCGGCGAGGGGAAATACCCTTTAATTTCTGGTTGTATATATACACCCTATATGGGAATTATTTTAATAATTAAAAAATAAAATAGTTCAAAAGTAGTTTTAGATTAAATTTAACTTTGTTTTGCATGGTATATAAATTTTCATGAAAAAATAACCAACACTGACTTCAGGGCAAAAAAGACAAAACTTATATGCTATTATAGGTCACTATTCACACTATTTTGACCGAAAATTTGTCCTTTTCGAAAAGAAGTCAAAGGGTGATTTTTTTTCGTGAAAATTTTCTCACAAGTAATAGAAGGTTAAGTTTATTTCAAAAATATTTCCAGAGTTTTTTGACTTTTTGTTGAGGAATCAAATCCCGCCCACCTCGGCGTGCCCTTCCCTTCCCTTCCTTCTGCTGCTTGTGTTGTGTTGCTGGCCCTCCACTTTCAGCAGGCGGACTCTGTACCTCCCTTGCTTTTCACAGGCCAGCGCCATCCCGCCGTTGTGAAAAACAAGGGAGGAGGAAACCTAGGTCCGCACGGCGACACCCGAGTGCACAGCATGACCCGCCCTCTACCCCCGTGCGTCGCCGACGTGGCATTGGTTCTTGCTGCCGTCATGGGTGAGGCAGATGCGGGTCGCGCGCTCTGAGGAAGCCAACGCGTGCTTGTCTATGAGGTCGCGTGCCTTACCTCATGCCTTTTCGAACTCCGTCGCAAGGTGGCAGCACAGAACTGGACGCTGCAGACCAGATTTCCGACTGCACGGCGCGCGCGGAAGAGGCTGGCCACCAGGCCGCCGCGGTCCGACTAGACGCTGGACAACGGCCCTGTTTGGATACTCTAACTTAGTTAGAGGTTAGAGTTAGTTTCTAACTTGTGTCTAACCCTGAACTAACTCTAACTTTGGTGGTGTTTGGATGAGAGGGTTAGATTGACAATAAATGCACTTTCTCAATCATTTGGCCCTCTTTTTAGCCGGATTTGTTGTGGTCGGCTCTTGTGTGGCCTCCTTCCGCTCAGAAATGACATAAACAAATTATCTACCGTCATGGTGCGGTCGTTTGACCAGCGAGCTCGATCTCGACACTTTCTACCGCTGCACACTAGCTAACTAACCAGTAGCTCCACCAATAAATCTAGCTATGGAATACTCTTGCTGACTTGCTGCACAGACGGACGCGTACGAGGAGGGAGAACACAAATACAGAAGGAACGGACGGACTCACCTCTCGCTGGATCCCTGACAGATGCGTCGCCTCCGCGCACGAGAGAGAGAGAGAGAAACGACCGGGAGCGGGGCGAGCTTCGGACGGGGGAGGACGAGCGGCGGCCGGAGGAGGTCGAGCGGCGGCCGGAAGAGGTCACGGCTTGGGCCGGCGGCGCGATGGGGAACGAGAGGAAAGTTGCGTGAGGGGGTGTTGGAGTGAGGGTGGGATCTGGTGCGGGAGGGAGGAATGGGAGGGCGATTTTTTTAGTTATTTTTTTGTGGGCCCTGCGAAAACTAGCTCAACTAGCAACCTCTCCGCCAGGATACTTTTTTTACATGGGTTAGAAGCAACTAACCGAAACTAACCCACCGTTTTGGATCCTTTTGAGCTATTTGAGCCCAAAATAACTCAAACTAACACTAACTCTAGGATCCAAACAGGGCCAACGGATGTCCGTGTGCATGGCGCAAGTCCAAGAGTCTGGCCGCCTGACGGACGATGCCGATGTCACGACTGGCATAAGGATGCCATCGCCACGTGGTACGGGGAAGACATCATGAGCCAAGCATACCAAGCCGTTGACGCGGCGCGGAATGCGCATTGCCTCATCGATGAGTACGACGTCGCGTCCAACAAGGGCGAGGACTCGGTCGAAGACAAGTAACATCGCACCATCCACGGTCCACGGCGTCTCGTGCAGCACTAGGTTATGTTACGTTGCTGCATGCTTTTGATCAGTGCTTTTCCTATTTCGTGTCCAATAAGGTGCATCGCACTAAGCTATTTCTCTGTAAGAACTGCTGTTCGACCTCGTACATTTGCCGCACTTATATCTGAATTGGCTTTCGGTGTCTGAATATTTGCTAAAGTTTCATGTTTTCGTATCAGCATTTCATTCGTGTTTACTGAAATATGTGCAAGTTTCGTCTGTGAAACTGAATATATTGTTGACAGATGCAAAGTAAACTTGAAAGACTTGCAGACAGACAAAGAGAGTTTAGTACAAACTTAGATTTAGGCTAATACACACGACTTTTTTACATAACAGAGGATCAATCCCTCTACAGAGAGCAATGTTTGCGCTCTCTAACTACTATGTCCGGACTACTTGCATTGCCTAGTTGTCGTCATCCTTGTGCCCATCATCTTGGTTGCAACCCAGCTTTTCGTCCTGCGCCGCTACCTTGGCCGCCGCCTTTGCCCTCCCCGCAATCGCCTGGAGCTCTGCAACTATGCGCCGTTCTTTAGCGTACCGCAAACGCATGGATTAATCCGGCCCGTTGAAGTCTTCGACCTAGATTTCCAACCTACGGCGAAGGACGAACTGTCTTGCTTCACGATGGTGAACGAGTTATCTACAGCGGCGGCTCACATGCAACGCCTCCTCGTCCATCGGAGGCAGATTCGTAGCGGTGGCGATGGCCAGCAGCACATCTTCCAATGGCGGCACCTCCATCGGCTCTTGTTCTTCCTCATCTGTGGCATCGTCGAACGGTGCCACATCTTCCTGCATCGCGGCTTTATCTTCCATGATATCGTCGAACGGTGCCCCCTTTTTTTTGAAGGGTAACTACATGTTCATATAAAAATATGGTTGCAACCCCACACGTATACCTGAACAAGACAAAGTAAGGAAGACATTTGTCCCGGTACAACTACAGAAAAGATCCCCACAAATGAAAATATACAATCAAATCATTGAAGATGAGAGCAATTCTCCATCGCTGACACCCAGCACCGACGAAAAAACGCCGGAGGGGAAGGTGATGAAGGTCCATCACACCCAAATCCAAAGAAGCACCATCGCGACAACAACCGCTTTGTGAGCCGAAGAACACTTTCGCCGCGAACGACAAAACTATTTCCAATGTGGCACGTCGGCCGGGGGCCCAACGGCGGAGCTACGTGAACGGCTGGGGTGGCTGCGGCTCCCCCAGCCCAAACGAAAATTTCTTTTCATCACGTACAACTGGCCCCTGCTGCCATGCATGCATCTCGCGTTAGGAGTTTTTTTTCGCGGGGGAGTTAGGAGTCGCGTTAGGAGTTCGGCCCATCTTCACCCACGTGGGGGAGTTACAAGTCTACGAGGACTCATCGATACATGAGGAGTCAGGATAGGAAACGGAGAAGAAGAGACAGAGGGAAGTTTAGATTACAGAAGGTTTAAACGAAATTCTAACAGCCTCCCTTAATCTAAACTACCCTATATTTAAATTTTTCTTGAACTCTTCAAATGGCTTTGCCAGAAGAGCTTTAGTAAACCCATCTGCCACTTGATCCTTGGATGGAATAAAACGTATCTCCAACTTCTTCTCAGCAACCCTTTCTCGTACAAAGTGAAAGTCTATCTCAATATGCTTAGTTCTGGCATGAAAACTGGATTAGCACTCAAATAAGTAGCACCCAAATTATCACACCATAGGCATGAGATACGGCGTTGCTTCACTCCCAATTCCTCAAGCAAAAATTCAAGCCAAATAATTTCAGCAGTAGCACTTGTATTCAGCTTCAGTACTTGACCTTGACACAGTTGCTTGTTTTCTGGCACTCAATGAAATAAGATTAGAACCAAAGAAAACAACAAAATCTCCTGTTGATTTTCTATCATCACTGCAGCCTGCCCAATCTGCATCAGGGAAAGCACTAACAAGTGTAGAATTTGAACGTCTGACTTGTAGTCCCAATCCTATAGTGTGCTTGGGGAACATGAAGAACATTATTTAGATGTAGATCTTTTACGGGAGTTTTAACAATTGAGTTACCAACATGAGTAATATCCATACCTGTTCCACTTGCCGTGTGTATTTGATCACCACCATGGTACCTTTCTCGCATGGTTAACTTGTCGAGCTCCCCTGTGATGTGTTCGGTGGCTCCTGAATCTGCATACCAATTTGTGTCTATCCCATAGGAGTTGGTGATGAGATTTGCCGCCTTATTCTTCTCTTCTTGATCTTCCTCATAGCGCCACCAGCAGGCTCTTGCCCCGCCGGGATGAAACTTGTAACAGATCTGGCACTCTGGGTAGTCTCCTTGCTGCTAATGTTGTTGTGGTTGCGGCCGAGGATCCTGCTGTTGGCCACCGCCACGAGTAGGCGAGGGAGAAGGGCGGTTCCCACGACCACGTCCCCCTTTGTTACTTCGCCCACGGCCTCCTCTGCCGCGAGACAATCATATGGCCGTCTTGAAGCATGCAAATTATATGACATGTTGGATACTCAATTGTTAGTCCGTAGCAACACCGGTATTTAGCTGGTCCAAGTAAACATGAGAGCTAAACTAAATAATTCCAGATCGATGAAGCCAAAAGCAGACAAATAAATATAAAGATGGCGAGGAATCACGCATGTTCTCATTGCATTAGCATGTTACCCTCCGTGCTTGCATCTTGCGGACCAGCTCATCAATTGGTAGTTCGTTTGTTTTAATTGGTAGTTCGTTTACTCTATTAATCACTATGCATACCTACACTGATACATATAGTATATACAACATTGTTTAATTATGTATGCAAAAATTCATTTTTTTTAGAAAAGGAGGATGACCCCCGGCCTCTGCATCTGGAAGATGCATGAAACCACTTTATTGATTATTCTCGAGAACCTTACAAAGTATTACAACAATATGCCTGAATCCGCCATCCTGGCAACAAATGCCACTACTTCTATCCATATGATGAAGGGGTGCTAGCTGGACCAAATACCCAAACCACTCACCTAAGCCTATCAAAAGCCGGAAGCCCCAGCCGAGCCACATACCGGGTCTGGGGCACTAAGCGGTCTGGCGCACTCACATGTGTCGTCACCGCCATTTTCACAGGTCCTTCTTCAGAGAAGATATTGAGGCTTCTACCTTGTCAGGCCACTCTGTCATCGACGCCACCATGACGCCAGATAGCTACCTCCTCCTACGCGAGTCCATCACCGCATCGGCCGCCGAGTCTCCACTGTGCCACGCCGTCGAGATCCGTCGCCTTCAAAGGGTAGGATGAAACACCGCTCCCCCAAAGAAACCGCCCACTGGTCCCTCGATCCCGTGTACGCCTCCAAGAATGACGGCCCCCAATGAGGAAACGACACCAACGCGCCGCCGTCATCCGATCTACTGATGTAGGGTTTTCCCGGGAGGTAGCAGATAGGGGTCTGGAGCTTCTCCACGGCGATGCCTTCAGGAAGGTAACGGCATAAAAGTGTGCCACCATCGCCAGTCTTGGCATCAAGCCGAGAACAAGGTTTTCACCCGGATCCGCTCGAAGAACCTCCATCAAGCATCGTGTGCACGGGTAGGCGCCGATCTGAGCCGCTGCGCATCGAGCAGTCCGCACCGGCCAGATCAGATCTGTCCGGAGGGCAAACCACGCATGGCGCCGACCCAACCACCAGGCCCTCCATGCCGCCATCGCTGATCTGAGATCCGATGGTCCGCCGCCGTAGACCCGACCGCTGCCGCCGAACGCAGCCAAGGCCACTGCCCGAAGCAGGGCCGGCCGCTGCACCCGCCACCATCGCCACCCTAGGCTAAGGCAGCCGCCGCGCCGCCACCGGTCAAGGCATGCCCGCCACGCCGCCAAGGTCAGATCGGCTGTGCCACCACACGCCGCGGGGTTCCGCACCGCCCCCATGGCGCAGGAGAGAGGGAAGGCCCCCGCCACCGCCGTCAACCCCCGGGCTAGGCCGGCGGCATCCTTTGGCGGTGGCGGAGGGAGGGATGGAAGGACGGGGAGCCCCCGACGGCTAGGGTTGCGACCCCGCCCGAGTCGCCCGAGCGGGGGCGACGCGGGGGGAAGGGGGGCTACAAGATAGAGACCCCGCCACCTTGAATTTGGATTGTAGTTGTTTGCCCTAACCGGCTTGCCGAGCGGCGGCGATCGGTAGATGGGTGAAGGGAGCGGCGGAACGGAAGATTTGCAAGATTTCCTACGCATCCCATGTTTGTAATACACGACACGAGGCTGCTCGTATGCTCCGTGACTGATTTGTTTCATGAATCTTCTGCCCCATACACATTCGCTCAGTGTAATTCTAGGTTGCTGAGACAAAACGAAGGTGTCAACTGGTACACAACAGAACTTCGGCAGGTAGGATGCGCGGAAAACAAGGAGATGAGTTGTATTAGTCCTAAAAGAGAGCGGATTTGCTAAACGTCAGGTGTCTGATGAAGACGATCATCCGGCCGTCCATTCGACATCCAACGGTTCTGATTTTTGACTGGCGCCAATTTTATTTTTCAGATACCTAACATATAGGCGGCCCCAAAAGAGACTTGGTAGTCGATGAAATGCAACGGGATCTTTATTGAAGAAGAAGATGGTACAGTTTACATGGCTTCAAGTCAAGAATATAAAGAAATGTGGTACACTTCATCATGTCCCTGCCTGATTGGTGCCTTCTACAGGTAAGTTATTTTTCTCTTTCTGGATAAGGCCCTCCAAATAAAGTTGGTAGAAGTGTTCGGCCATAAGCCAGAGGATGGTTGTCAACTCGCCGCCACTGTTGAGCTTCTCGGCATGAGCCTTCCTGCTGCATTTGTTGCTTGCATAGACAAGAATGTCCGTCCACACATCAAGGACAAGTTTCACCGAATCGACCGTGCCATCTTCCTCCATCGTTAGCAGGTGCTTGGCAAGTTTTGCTACATAGGGGAGTCGAGGAGCGTCATGGCTGAAGCCTTTGGTCGCGTACTCATCGCATAGGATTTTCGCAAGCTCCTCTCTGTCGGCGACCCTGGAACTAGAACTGGGGTCATCGTGCAGGCCGAATAGATTCTTGGGCTTAGCACAGAGGTTCATGCGTTGGCGCCTAGAAGTCGTCGACCGTCTGGTTTTGACTAGATTTTCACAGGTTCGTTGATACAACCTGTTCTGGGAGAGGCCTGGCAGCATGTCGGGTTGTTCCACAAGGAGGAACATCATGTAGTTGGATATCACCTTGATCGCCTCGACGTCGAGCGATGCATCTTCGTCCTTAGCCCGCTGTCTCTTGGCGAGGAAAACATCGCTGCCGATGTGCCAGATGATGATGCACTCCTGGAACTCCACACCGAGCGAGTCTTTGAGTATGCCATGGAATAGCTCCTCACGAACCAATGGCTCCTCGCCCCACCTGTTCCTGAGCATGCCTAGTGAGTTCACACCCCCTTCCATGTACATTTTTGTCATGTGCCTAGAGATATAATCCTTGACATGGTTGGGCATCTCAATGGTCCATGAGTAGTGCTCCATGTTCCACCACTCATTGAGTCCCAGTCCCACCATCTTGGCGAACTTGCTGAGCAGAGGCCTTGTGAATAATCCATTGCCGACGTCGGAGCGAGTGCAGAAGTGCAGCATGTTGTACTGGCCCATGGTACGTGACCACCTTCTTGATCTGTACCGGCTTCCTCCTCCTACCCTCACAAGATGGTGAAGATATGCAACCAAACGTCTAAGTCTGTCCCACCTTTCATTGCACAGAGCTGCGTATCGAAGCCAGCGACATCTCGTGGTACTCAGGAAGGCGAATGTCCAGGAGGAGCCTAGCGCGTTCAGCAGCGATGTCGTCTCCATGAACAAGGCGCCACCATACAAGGCATAAGTGATGACGACGTCAACTCCGCGGTGGCCGTCCTTGCCAATGAGCTTAAACAGCAGCAGTGAGCCGACAATGGCGAGCGGTGAGATAAGACGTACCGTGAAGCCGAACCAGGTGTGGATGACTGGCGCCTTGGTGTACAGCATGTCGTACATGAGGGAGAGCTCGGTCTCCATCAATCGACAAAACTTGACCCGGGCCACCATTCTGGTCGTGTCGTGGCCGTGTGAATCATCTTCGATGACCGGACAATCAACTATGGCACGCTTGCAGATGTGGAAGAGGGAGTGTGCTCGTCGCACAAGGGATTCCTCGTCCAACACTCCATCCTTGAACACTTCATCATGGGGGTGGAAATGTCTATGCATGGCAGGTGGTTGCTTCTTGACGGATCCCCGGATGCTGTCCAGGTTGCCCCACATGAGCGCCCACGTCTTCTCGCCGTACTTGACGGCACCGACGGCGAACATCAAAATGAAGGCAAGCCGGAGCAACGCGCCCCTTGCCGAAATATGCTCATAGAGGACATACACCGCTGCCAACACCTGAAGTACGGCGTGTAGCAGGTGACGCTTCCAGAGCTTGTTGTCCTCCAGGGAGTAGGCGGTGATGTTGTCCGGGCCTCCGAGGTGAAGCAGGAGGAATGGCGCCCAGAACGCGACGATCGGGTGCTCACGTGGCGCGCCCTTGAGGGAAAGGTGGCCAAGGGCGTACGTCGCAGTGTAGTCGGCCAGCCGATACGCCAGCCAGAGCAGGAACCGCAGCACACGATGGGCTCCACGCCTACGGATCCCGGCGAAGAGGAAGAGGGCGAGCTGGAGGCCGAGGCTGAGGAGCACCAGGACGAGCTGGATGGACCAATTGTTCCAGAGGTTCCGCGGCCAAGCTGCCATTTTCTCCTGTTCCAGCGAGGAACTGTGCTACATGCCTGCCTACAAACCGGTGCCTACAAATGTCGTGCGATTCACAAAATATACTACTGATTAGCTAGGTAATACTAGGATGCGACTAAGCTAGGCCCGCTGCATAACAATTGACGTATGATGGAGTATCATAACAATTGGTATGATGAAGAGGCCTGAATCGAGACGATCTCGTTACTTGAGTCTTGACTCACAACTAAAAAGTCGCGAGATTGGGGTAGAAAACTGATTACTCCATGTGCATGCATATGAGTATGATTCCATGCTTGATGCATGGTTCAAATAAATAATCAACCATGTTCCACCCATGTGAGGACGGACGGGTGGATATGTGCATCACACCACAAACCAGCAGACATGACAAAATCCAAAAATCGGAAGCTTTTCTTATAGGGACAAAATAAAAAGGTTTTGGGGCTAATTTGTAGTAGTTGTACCTTCTTCTTTTCGTTTCTTTTTTTCTTCCAAAAAGTAGTTGTACCTTCTAGTTGGATAAATGGAAAAAATTGCCAATGCCAAGTTGGCATACCCCAATATATTAGAAGACACTTGTAGATTGGATCACCGTTGCCTTTGCATCAATCGATGCACCCAACCTTACATTATTGCCAAGTTTTAAGGTCCAAAATTTCACAAATGTGTACAAAAGGCCACAAGGTTAAAAGAACCAAAAGATAACATGTTGCACCATGCTACAACGATCTTACTGGTGGATCACCATCCAAACCAGTTCAATATAGTCGTGCTGCCGTTTCCCATCGGTTGCAGGCAAAGTTCATGGACGCTCACGCATTGCATGTAGTGTAGGACAACATATGGATCTAGGTAACCTTGAGACCTTCAGATGGTAGGTACGTATGAGTGCGGTGGGATCCCGAGCTAGGGTCCTCCCCAAGTTCAATATGAAATTTCAAAATTTTGGAATGAGCTTATATTCAAATACCAAAAGTTTCTAATCTCATCACTAGGGTTGTGATGGCATGGTCGGCCAGGGCCTTCGAAACTGCCTCAATCCAGTGGAGTCAGCCTGTGCATTTGGTATAAATCGAAACTCCGGTTAGTCAATTTCGTTATTATTATTTTTCAAATTTGGTTAGCGCCAATGATGACCGAAAATGTCATAAAAAATAAGAAAACCAAAAGTCTGGTTAACTTTCGGTTTGGTATTATTCAGTTGATACTTAAATGACCATTCAGTTGCGCGCATTTAACCACTTGCACCCCACACTATTATATAGCCCAACTCTCCTCCTGTTCTACGTAACTAGCCGAGGTTGAGTGCAAACTTATGGTGCTCGAGTCACCATGGAGGCCGTTTTTTCCAAAAAAAGCAAAGACTATATTTAAAAGTTAAAAAGAGTAAAACAAATCAAAACGTGTACATGTTTACTATGGATCCATGAAATATTGTTTGAAAAAATTGCAGTTTGCAAGCTGTATGGAAATACATAATTCCGTCCCATCAACAACAAAAATCGACACATTTGAAAATAAATATTTGTTTTTTTGTACGCCACGTGTGAAAGTAAAAGTGATTTCTCAAAAAAAGGTACTATACGTATGTATGTTTGTTTAAAAAAAATCACGTTGTAAGAAAAATGGCGTCTTGAAAACGTCCTCCATGGTGCTCGGGCATCATTGGCATTTTTAAACAAACTAGTAAGTCTGCACGTGCAACGCACGTTATAATCTTAGCAAGAAAATTTCTCATTACCATCTTAATATATATGATTTCTGATCTTCCTTATATACTTCCAATTTTGAACAAATGATGGGCAGGAATTATGTTTCAAAAACATTTTGTAACACAAGACAATACAATGTGATAATCACACAGTCGTAAGGGGTGAAGAATGATTACCAGTATATCTACATCTCAGGACTAATAAGAAACAACGAAAATGTAGTCAAGATGGTCAACAAAGCTAACCTTCTTTTCCATTGAATCTTTGATATAATCACACCAATGCGAACCGATGACTTTGAGCTTTTCAAATGGACGCTTCTCCCTTAGTTCTTTATGTTAATTTAATACTTGAATTGTTGCCTTTGCTACCAGCACATAGGAGCTGTTTAGATACCGAAGACTGGGGGAGTAACATCCTTCTCGATATGATTGCCATACTTCATACTTGTCATAACTTTGACATGTAATAGTTGATAGCTTTGCGAATCTGAGTTTGATGTTGAAGCAAACTTAAAATTAGCAAGACGCACTGGTGTTCATTGAGATACTCTTTTCCTGGAAAACTTATTTTCATAATATCATTTGATGCCCATCTCATTTCTGAGAGGTAGATAGGCCCCACTGCTACATAGCAGTTTAATAAAAAAGGTTCAAGAGCAATTACGTAAGGGAGGGTGGATTAAACAGAACGCCTCCATTTGTTGTGCTTCCTTTGTCTTCCAAGCTACATTTACATACATAGTACCGATAATGCTTCTGTCAACCGAAAAAACATAATGTTCAGTCGTGTTGCAGAGCAGACCTACACAAACATCCTGATGGCCGCAAGAAAAATTCCAGTAAAAACTGGCCTCCATGGTTGATATGTATTCTATTCTCCATGCAACCAGAAAATCATCTGATCATGTCAGACACATTAGAGTGTTGTAAAAAAAGTGCATGAAAGGACTCATCATATATGCTTGAGCTAAAAGAAAGAAAGTGCATAAACACGTTGACAGGAAAATACTAATCCACCGAACAAGGGACAAGGGAGGAATGAGGTTGACAGAGGATCACTCACCATTTGTTTCCTGGTAGATCCATGCACACACAAGGAAAAAAAGAATGAATTTCACAGAAAAAGAAATAAACAAATAAGAGAATCTAGAATAGTTGAAACGAAGAAAAATGATATATGTGAACTTGGTTGTGTGGCAACACCACTAACCACCAAATTATCGAAGAAAACAAAAATGATATTGTGATCTATACCTCAAACGCCTTGAACTTGTGAGTCATGACCCACACTGCCTGCTGCGTCTTCTGCTTCAATAAGATCGGTGACTAATCTTATTGGGTCTTCCACAGTACCAACACTTTCCAATACGTCTGTCTGCTTTCGATCTTTTTTATCTAGCTGCAAAGCCTCGTGCGTATGAGACGATCAGCACTTTGCTAATATGACGGCAATGAATTAGATGCTCAAGATCGACACACCTGTGATCAGCACTTCCTAATAAGTTAAGCTAGTAGTGCAATATCTAAGCCAGAAATCTAGTCAAGCCACTGTACGCATGCGGTCGTGGGACGACAACCTTGGTGTTCCATGGCTCCGATGAGAGGGCGAGTGGAGTCTGGTCATTGGCCTCCATGAGGACGCCGTTGTGGGGTTGTTGACCTCTCAGTCCGCCGCCGGAAGCCGTCTCAGAGCGAGGGGATGTCCCGCAGATCAAAGCAGTCATCGCCCCGTAGGCTCGCATCAGTGCCATGCGTCGCCTCTCGCCAGAGACTGTCGCCACCGGAGGTTCACCGTCGAGGCCACCGGCCGCGCCCCTGCCCTTCCTCATCTCCCTTCCTTCTGTTCGTCTCTAGCTCCTCACCTTCGAAGCTCTCTCTCCCTGGAACCGCAGCTAGCCAGGGAAGAGGTCAGCCGCCACCGGCGTCCCTCCGACTCGCCGGAGCCGCCCGTCATCGACCCATCCGGCTGCCATCCGCCAGATCCATGCCAGCCCCGCCGGAGCCGCCCGTCGTCGACCCATACGGTTACACAATATCACTCTCAATCTTCATCGGTTAAAAAGGAGATGCGGTCCCTGTCCACCCTGTGCTTCCTGCTATTGAGCTTGGGCAATGCCACCATCCAGGAAGGAACCTCGCAGCCCGAACATACCAGTATGTTGGCGATGTTCCGCAGGAACGGCTTGTCCTCCTCCGTGAAGAACGTGATCACCTCCCCCGATCTGCCTGCTCTTCCAGACCGTCCTACATATAACAGGGGAATGGAGTTATTAGAATCTTATTGCAACAACTATGTCCAGGTGGGAAAGCCGGATATCTTTCGTACCTATTCTGTGAATAGGCAGACGCGGACTCAAGGAAATCATAGTTGATTACACAGTTGACACATTTGAAATCCATTCCCCGCGCAAGAATCTCTGTTGCTATTAGCACCTAGCTTTTTCCAGCTCTCAAATTGTCAACAACATCTTTACGCTAAAGTAAGGAAATACAGAATTCAGTCAGTGAGCCTGATGTCGACAGTATTAAACCAGTGAAAACGAAAACTACAGGAATATCTATCAAAATAAGTATCAATAAATTATGCAAAAGTAATACCTGCTCTTCAGTAAGGTCTCCATGGATTACATCAACTCTAATGTCGTCATATACCAGCTCTCTGTAGAGCTTTTTTGCCCTCTCTTTGCTTTGAACAAAGACCAATACCGGTGGATTCAGGGACTACAATTGAAGACAATACAACAACAGTAAGTTTCAAAACACACACCGAGACTCCTTTTTAGTAAGGACAAATGTGCAGTTCAACGTTTTAAATACTTTGCAAGCAGTCAGTTTATGGCTACGAGCAGCACAACATATGGCTTAGTTTTGCTACTTATATGCGGGCATGCATTAAACTGCAGTCTGCTGGTTTGGCATGACCAGTACAAACCAGTTCTAAAACAACGAAATGCATGGAAACCAGGAGAAAGAACTGCGAATGAAAAAATGTGCATAACGATCTTTTTGGATATACGGCAGACTGCAGCTAAGTGGTAACAAAGAAAAGTCATTTTCCGAAAATTGATTCAACACTAACAGAGTCACCATGAGATTTCGTCAGTACATGCACCTCTGAATTCCATCAATCGGTCCAGGTGGATTTGGTCCTGAACTGCACATCAGATGTTTCGCATTACACGTCTGCTTGCTCGCTCGGTCGTCAATGTAGCTGGGCAGGGCTGTTGAAACATCCAGCTAAATATCAACCACCAAAGCTCGTGAGCATTCGATTCAAGTATGA